ACCATTCTGGCTTGGCTACGGGTAGACCTGATCGCTTTTACCGTCATGGAGAAGAAGACAATGTTGAAGACGGTGACGAGCCCCAGAGGAGTTGCAAAGAAAATCCATTTGGCATCGAAGTTAGTAATCCAGCAGGCTACACGTGACCCATATCCTATGGCGACTGTCTGTGATTGGTCAAGAGCCACACAGATTGAAACGTACACCATGACAGACAGCCATCCAACAGCCATATATCGCAAGCTATGCAGCAGTCTTTTGCGCTTCGAGTCAACCATGGAACGTCTCCGTTTTGCAGTGAAGGCCCTCCAAGTGTCAAATGCGATGATGGACGTCCACACGAAAGAAACCAGGAAAAAGTAGTGAAGAAGAACAGCGATGGCAGTACAAACCATGGGTTTGTCAGTCAGTTGTTTACTTCCAACAAGCCACAAGAGTTGTGAGAGCAGAATGGCAACGCTGAGGTTCATGAGGTTAATACCTGGTGGTGTTCTTAGCTCGGTGAACAAGGAATAGGTGATGAGGACAAAGACCAGTGCAAAAATCGATATTGACATGCATACAATTGTCAAATCCGAAATGATATCATCATCTTCGTTTGACATGATATTCCTGTTGTCAGAGTCTACGAAAAGGTTATCGCAGACATAAAGATTTTGTTTATTCCAAATAAATTTCGGTGGATCGTATAGCATAAGAGAAGCGTTCACATAAATGGATTTGTTGGACAGAATCGAGTATTCGCTTTCGTTCATCAGTCCCCAATTTCCCGAACAATTAATTTGATAGGCAACAGCATGATTGACACACACCAAGACACTGCGATTCATCCAGATATATTCTGACTTATCATAAGTCATCTTTGAAGCGTTCACAAACACAGATTTATTTTCCAAGACCAAAAAGTCTCCTTCGTCGACCATTAAAAGCGATTGATTTGAGCAGTTCATTCTCCAAAAGACATTGGTAACATTAGTCATGTTGGTTGTCTCGCTTCCATTGATGAAATGGTATTTAGAGCGTGACATAGCAACCGTTGGAGAAGGTAACTTCTCTCTGCATATATTGTTTCTTTTATCCACTACATAATTATCAGCACACTGCAGTCCTGGAGAATGCGGAGGTGCCGAATGTTTGGCGAATATGTGATTTAGATTTACAACAGCGCTCTCTGATGAAGAAAAACCAAATATCTTGTTCAAAGAGTATAGCCGCACTACAGCTGCAGTTGTACGGGTTCAAGTGTACATATCAAAGAATTGCCCCACAAAAGTTGTCCTTCGTTTAGCAGCCATATATGGTAATCTTACCTTATTTGGAAGTACGATAGAAATGGTTTTTGTCGATTTTCTCAACTTTTTAAAGCTTGAAATCGTCTGAAACTTGCAGATATTATAGCGAAAACACTTCTCAACAATCGGCCATTTTGTTTTGTTTCCATATATGGCATGGATTCGCTAAAGGAAGCCCAAAACTAAAAAGCACAGGGAACCCGCACGAAGGACATACAATTTTGATATGACTGGAAATGAGGTTACTAAGTGTACTGTGAGGGTTTATTGCTTGCCAGTGAGCTTTAATGTAGTGTTTCATACTTCTGAATATATCGATGTGGTCAGATTCACAACATCTTGAGCATTTTTTTGCACTTSTGGTATTTTCTCGTTTGATATCGTAATACTCCAGTTTCGAATTCATAGCGAATAACCGCTGCTTTATTTGACAACAGATTGTCTTGCGCAAAGACCTTACAAACACAAAAGAGAGCACGAGAAARTRTYGTTATTACAATAGACTTGAAAATTTGCATTTTCCCCGAGTTGAGATTATCCCTGTATTCCCATAAGACCTAACGTATGAGCTGGGTTAGCCTCAACTCGGGGAAAATGTAGATTCTTAGGGCTATTGTATTAACAACATTTTCTCGTGATTTCTTTTGTCTTTGGTAAGTTCTTTGCGTATTAGAATCTGCTGTCAAGTAAAACAGCGGAAATTTTGAGAAAATGACGATAAGGAACGATTTATTTATATATCTATTTTTTTAAAATAGTCTTCTTAACGGTTCCCTGCGCCAACTTGAAAGGTAACCGTGCCTTTGCATCGAGACGTGTCTCTTTGACACCTATAGACAATTATTAACAAGTATCTATCATTGCACTCTCAACGGTTGTCTCGTTTCGATGACAAGGCACGGATACCTTTCAAGATGGCGCAGGGAACCGTGAAGGAGACTATTTTTATGCCGAGTCGAACATCAAACTTGAACAAAATATTCAAAAGAAAAGAGAATTTTAAAGATGGAAAATGTGAAAGTTCTCACATACCTTCTTCAGGACTCTCCGTAAAATCATATTGAGATGAGTTCGCCGTCTGGTTGTGAAAAGAAATGTTGAAATCCCTTTGAGTAGTGCATGTCCAATGAGACGTTTGAAGGAACATCCACAGAAAGAAAGCAAAAACCATGGCTACCTACATCAGTAGGTGAAAAGCTGTACAGCTGTTAAAAGAGACGTATTTTGTTMTGGCATTGACTGAGCTTATTCTTGAAGAGGTGCAGAGTACGTATGCAAGACTCRGACGTTGCACGATTTTYAGATCAATTCAGTCGWAGTGTAGTGTRTWGTCTCTCTYATGTAGTGTGGTGTACAAGASAATGGTGGTTATACTATATCCTATTTATAATTCATAGATATGACGTTAGATAACTAGTYAAACTGGTTATGACAAGATAAGATCAGAATGACAGATGATCATTGGTTCAGGATCATGATTCGTCGACGCAATGCCTTGAATCAGAGTGATAATTAACTCCTAGCTTTTACAGCTTTTACCATACTCGTAAAATAAAATATTTCATACTAGCAGAAAGTGTCTAAATTCTTATTAATATTCTACCGATGGCACGGTTAGCTGTTGCGCGTGCTCCTGAATGAGGAAGTTGACATCTATTTACATTATGGACAACCTATACCTACATCAGCTTTWAAAACATAAACGTGGACCAGTTAGACGACATTTAGGGCGAAAGTAGATTTTAAAGACAGATTTTTTTCTGTGAGCTGTGATATAACTGAGCCAAGTAACATAATAAATAATTCTTAAATAAAGTAAATCCGGTTGAATGATAGCAATACCAATATCATTGATCTCTTTCAAAATAGATTTTTACGTTTTAATTTTAGCATCATTAGAGTGAGTTCGTAATGAATCTATCGACTCGGAACATTACCTRTCTAATTATTATTTTCAAGTTTAACAGTGACTCCTATAAATAGCCAACTCTTAAAACTCTAGGGATATTGGCAAAAGTGTTCTAATGATTGAATAATATACCAGGCAATCATGAATTGAAATTATATTTACGCATAGAAGACATAATCTGCGGTACTGTATATAAAGAGCATAATTGCTCTAAGTCGTTTTGGAAGGTGCTTTGAGGGAACTATTTACAATCATAGCGCAACAGGGAAACCAATTTACTATGATTTTAGGCGATTTCAATATAAATATCCTGTGGACGCAAACATTTTATTAAGCACATCAATTTTTTAATTGTCTTGAAAGCTACTCATTTTTGCCCACAATTGGCAAACTCACAAGAGCCTATGGTGCTGCTTATTGACAACATTTTTTCTAAACYAACTTGATGATTATTCTGTATGTGCGTGAATATTCTATGAGGCRCTATGTGCCACCCAGGCACCATGGCGAAAGAGAGGTGTCGTAAATAAGCCTCGATCCTTTATCCAGCATGATGTCAMAGGGTATATCGGGCTGTCAGAATGTAGGCTGGTGAAGAGACAAGTTCAACTTCTTTGCACAACGTTATTATATCATTAAGTCTGTTTTGAATCACTATTTCATTTATTTTGCTAATTTCTTGATACTATTTTGTTCAAAAACTAGCTCTTTTCCTACAAAGTATTCCAGTAATAGTAAGTTTTAGTGATTTTTCTCGACAATGATGACTTTGGTCTTTCCTTTCCTGGAAACAATCTCAGTTGAGCGGGCCATTGTCTCCACAGTCCTCCCATATCTAGAATGCTCATCGCTACTGCCCGATTTCTTTGGCTTAYACAACTKGATGTACAGTCGTCTTGCTCGCTTGTTGAGAGCAAACGCAATGGCGATGTAAATTCCCTGCAAAGAGCTCAGTATYACATACRCGTACYGAAGGAAAACCCACCCGGACGCTGCAGCRAAGCCAAAGACCCACGTGAAGCCCATTACGGACGCTATACGTACGTAAACGCCAAAAACAYGCTTGTTGGCTTGGTTGTCGRCCATTTTGGCWTGRYTACGGGWAGACCTGATCGCTTTTACTGTCATGRARAAGAAGACAATGTTGAYGATGACRATCATYCCYAGAGGAGTTGCAAAGAAAATCCACTTGGCATTGAAGTTAGTAATCCAGCAAGCWACAYGTGACCCATACCCTATGGYGACTGYCTSTGATTGGTCAAGAGYCACACAGATTGACACGTAYACCATGACAGAAAACCATCCAACASCCWTATATCGTAAGGCATRGAGCAGTCTTTTGTGCTTCGAGTCAGMCATGGAACGTCTTCCTTTTGCAGTGAAGGCCCTCCAAGTGTCAAAGGCGATGATGGAYGTCCACACRAAAGARACCAGGAAAAAGTAGTGAAGAAGAACAGCRATGGCAGTACAAGTCATGGAGTTGTCTGTCTGTCYACTACCAAGAAGCCACAAAAGTTGCGCAAGAAGAATGGCAACGCTGAGGTTCATGAGRTTAATACCTGGTGGTGTTCTTAGCTCGGCGAACAAGGAATAGGTGACGAGGACAAAGACCAGTGCAATAATCGATATCGACATGCAAACAATGGTTAAAAGCGATAAGATTTCATCTTCGCTTGACCAGGMTTCATCGATATCAGGGTCCCCGYYAAAGCTATCGCAGACAAAGAGGCTTTGGTTTTSCCAMGTGTACTGTGKKGGGTCGTACAGAGTGTSTGAAGCGTTCACATAGATTGATTGGTTGGTCAAGATTGTATACTCATCACTCTCCATCAGACCCCACTCTTTTGAACAGTTATCACCTTCAGTTTCCCAAGAATCRATCTCCAGCGAATTGTTATCGCACACCAAAACACTGCGATTCTGTCTGATGTATTCTGACTCGTCATATGACCTCTTTGATTCATGAACCAATATAGAACGATTTTCCAAAACAGAATATTCTTCTTCATCGAGTACCAGCCATTCCTTGGAACAGTTATGTGTCTGCCTACAGACATAAATAGCTTGGCTGCCATTGTCCTGTTCTCTGATATAATAGTCTTCAGACACTAGCACTTCACCTGTCTTCTTGATGACAACTGCTGAGTTGTTATCTGAAGGCATCGTGTACTCATCGGTGTGATATTTTTGAGGGTTTTGGCAAGTGAGGTTTTGTCTCTTGGACATTTTGATTTTAAATGSAAACCGACTGAATGTTCTTTTCTTTTTACTTTTCCTGGATGGTACTTTCCTTCTTATTGCTTTCCTGCCGGTTGAAGATAACTTGTGCCTGCATTTGTTCTTGTTCTTATCAAAGACTTGTGTAGAAGCGCACTTTTTCTTCTTCTGAGGCGTAGGAAACATGATATTTGGATTAGCAACTTTGAGAGGTCTTCTAGTTGGCGACGGCGTGGGCGGTTCCTTAAGTTCTGATGTCAAAACAAATATTTAGTCCATTAATCTACTTCAGTTACCGTTGTTTAAGTATTAAAACAGCTGTTTCAGTTAATAAAATAGACCCAAAACCAAAATTAATTGCCGATAGCTCGACATCATGTTCAAAAACCTAATTTCTCAGCTTTGTCTCTTYTTTTGTCTTTGATCTGTTTTTCGCCACGCTCGAGTGATGCAGTATGGGAATTCCTTCCTGCCTCCTGTGATGCAATGAATGCTGTTTGAAAGAACTGACTGGGAGTCTGTTATCTAGCGTTTAAACATCTCACATGTAAGTTATGAGATAACATTCTCAGATTTATATTCATGAMCGTTTTCTAGTAAGTCTGTCACTAGGTTACCGTTAAATGCTACGTGTGCTCTCGCATTAGTAAAACAAATATCTACTGACATCAATTTGATTACACCTAAAATATCCTAAAAGCCCGTTTAAACTTGCGATTTTTGAAGTGCGGTTGTCGCGCGACAATCGCCTGACTGAGTTTCGAACATACTTGAAACTTAGCTTCATCACGCTACGATTTTCGATCTATAACTGATCCATAATGTCCGTTTGCTTTATGTTTCAAAAGTAAAGCTAAGTAAAGCTAGGTTTATGTATGTGAGGGTAAACACGATAGAGAGTTTAGATACGCGTTTACTGCGAACGCCAAACGTGTCAAAACTGATCGCGTGATCACTGTTTTTCTGTATTACCGGTCCGTACTCTTGCAACTGTGTATAAAATAAATTACTTTTTCGTATATAAGCGCATCACTTTCCTTTCGAAACGTTTTTACGTTTGTTTGAAATTTTTAGAGAAAGCATAAAAGATAATTTGACGTTTGGCGTTTGCAGTAAACGTGAATCTAAAACTCTATTAATAATGACTCAAGCAGTACTCCTGTGAAAAGGAAATAATAGACGCTATCGTATAGATATATCAGCAATCTTTTTTAGTTCTGATCTATTCTGAATTTTTATTAATAAAGCTTCATACACATTTAAGTTTTAAGATTATCGGTATGAAATGATTATGGATAATAATTTGAGAGCGTTCTACTTGGCCAATCATTGATGCTTTTACAACTGAGCTTCTAATTGCTAACGATAAACATTTTCGTGATGCGGACGGAAAGTTATCCTACTATTTTATAATTGTTTTTTATCTGAGCCAATTTAAGAGATAAAGTGACTAGATTAAGAAAGATGGGAAGCCCATTTTTTCCCCGTATCTATTTTCTAATCCATCAAAATGTAAACATAATTGTCCTTTGGATTTTTGTAAAGAAGGGCGAATGCCCGAAACGTTCAAAGAAAGAGTAGAAATCAAATTACAAGTTGTGTGGCTTTTTCTTCATTTTATACTAATTTATTTTCTATTTCATCTATAGCTTTTATTTTTATTTTTTAGCCTTTGAATACTGTCGTGTAAGTGTGAATTCAATGGGTGGCTATGTGAGGCATGTGTACGATTCCCTTTTATGTTTTTAATAAGGTATGCTACAATAATTTAAGTGGTATGCATTTTCTTACCTGTAGTTTGTGGAAAGGTAGTCTTTTTCGTGGTGGTATAAATCGGTCTCGGTGTTGTCCAATTCGCGCCGCCTTGCCRGAGGGAGTAATTTTTTGCTTTTGAAATATTTTCTCCTTTSATGGTATGATTCCAAACTCCATCTAGATTTATTTAGAAAGAGACATATCAATATATATTTTCTTTGGAACTTCTTAATTACAATTGGCTCATCGAATTGACGCGTTATATTTCTTTGTTTATGATTACAAATTCTAGGAACTCGGTCGGCATTCTTTTCTTTGTTGTTGACTTTGGAGCTCTTACCAGTCGCTTTTTTATCATCAAAAGTTTCATAATTATGTATATTAAAGCTGTAAAAAAGGTTTTTGTTAATTAATTTGATTAAAAAAGTCAATTCAGTTTCCAAAGGCTTAAGCCGAGACACTTATACTCAACTTCTGATGGATTCGCCTGCGGCGGTTTATATGAAAGGTACGTGCCGGAACAACGCTATCCATTGAATATATCCTTATTCATCGACGAATATAATCAAAAGAAAATCTTTGCAGGGAAAAACTTTATCAAGTGGACAGAGGAAAACTTTATCAAGTGGAAAACTTTATTCGCCTCTTATTAGACGACCCACCATGGAAACCATTGTTCTTTGCTAAAATGTCATTATTTTTTTTAATATTTATTCAAATGGAAACTTAGTTGTTATAAAGGAAAGCGTTTTACAGGAAGAGGGTTTTAGTAAATTTATTATTTTGAAATAAGTCCACCTACCTTTCGTGCGATTACCATAATGCGTTGAGTTCCAATTGTCGTAAAACGAAATGTTTAAAGCCATTTCGTCAGTGAGTTTCCATATAGAGGTTTGAAAATACATAAACAAAAAAGCTGACAAGACCATTGGGTATTTCTTTAAAAGGAATCGGTTCGTGAAGGCTTTAAAACTSTGTTTTATCGCTGCCGAAGAGGATTCAGTGTGAGCCAGAGCAACAAGGCAGTGTGGCTACGATACAACGCCTTTCGAATACGTTTTCTTCTACCCCACAATGCAGTATTAATAGCCCCAAAAATCTTTGCGCGCCCGTTAATAAACAGGTTTGTGGCGCCGTTTATTTTATCTTAATTGTATGTTAGGCTCCTCACTTTGAACAGACTGATCGGAAAAATCAAATAATGGTGGGAAATAGCGGTAAACTAGTGTGAGCTGCGTCGGTGTTTCTAAAGAAACAGTTATGCTTTTACTCCGACGAAGGATTAACGTCCGAAACGTCAGTAAGTTATTTCACATACTTTTTTACGGTGTTAAATTTGTCTTTTTACATAAAAATCAAATAATGTCAATCAATTTACCAACAAAACGTTATAATATCCCTTGGCATATGATGTATTTGTTCAAACAATAATAGATGTGCCAGTCTGTGGGAATGAAAGTTTTTTATTTTTTGATCCTTGATTAAT